AGCAGGACATGCTCTCCCCCAGCCCATGAGCTTCAATATTACATCTTGAACTGTCTCTTGGAAACAGAGATATTATTTGTAAAATTCACTGGGCAACACCTAATCCATAGCCGTACATTCACAGTGGCTAACAACATAGGCCAAAATCACCTGTTGAGCTGTGTTTTCCCAGCTGAGGGAAATGTGCTCCTCCTTCCTGAAACACTTTGAGGTTAACCCAGGTGCTTCTCTTTCTCCAGGGATCATTGACTTCCTCATAAGCCAGCACCCTATTGCTCGTGCCCTACGGGAACACCTGGTCTTCAAGATTGCACCCATGCTCAACCCTGATGGCGTCTACCTGGGCAATTACAGGTGAGGGACGGGAGAGAATGCTTGGATGGTGGTGTGGAAGCAGGAAGAAAAAGGATATAGGTTTCTGAGGAAGAATTTTCAGACTACCCATGAGTTCATTAGAGGAAGTTTCACTCTGGCCCTTGAGAATGTGACTAATGTGCCTTGGCTGTTTCATGCACAGTCACCTGAGGTCACTTGCTGGAGTTTTCTGGGCAGCTTGCTGGACCAGGAATCAGGAGACTTAGTATCAGTTTTGGCACCTACTTCCTGTGTAACCTTGGGGAATTCGCTTTCCCTCTCTGATGCATTGCAGTTTCTCTTGCATAATTAAGACGATAATTACTTACCTGGCAGGGCACTTGCGAGCACCAAAGGAAACGGTGGCAATGAACGTGCTTTGCAGAATATCATATGGTGGTGATAAGGGTTACTGTTTTGTTTCTGGGTTTCTTCTTGGAGATTATTAATGAAGCAGAGTAGCATCCCAGATCACGTGAACGGCGTTTTGATTTGGTGTGGGCATACCGGCTAGCCCCACACTCACTCAGGCACTCACATCCTGAGCTCTTTCTCCTGGCTTAGCACCATAATTTACAGCCGAAAATTCCACTACCCGGGGAACCATCTGCTGAGAGAACATTGAATCCTCTGAGAGTGTTATTACCCTTATTTCACGGTTGAGGCAACAGACTGGCCCAAAGTCATACAACCAGTAAATCATTGACTGTCTAACTTCACTGCCTAAATTATACAGCTTGAGAGCTGATTAGTCCCACAACTCTCAAGGTAACATTCAAACTCCCCGGCTTTGACGCAGAGCTCTGTGTGACCTGGTGCCTCACCTCCCACCCTCTGGTCATAGAACGGTTGCTCTGGTCACTCTCAGGGAGGCCTGGTTCCTTATACAGGTCCTGTTGGTAGCCAATACCTTACCTTCCTAAAGACCCTCTGTCCAGAGCCTCCTGGTCCCTTCCTCATTTCACTAACCCTTCCTCACAACTCAGCTCATGCCTCTTCTTCTAGAAAACATTCTGCAAACCCCCAAACAGAATTGGTCATTCCCTTCTCTGAGCTCCCACAGGCCTGGCTACTGAACATGTCTTATCCTATTGCATGGACCCCACTGGTCCTAAAGCCACCAGAGGGCAAGCACTTGAGCCTTAATGGTCATTGTGTCCCCGGTGCCTATCAGCAGGGATCAGCACATAGTAGATGCTCAAAAGGAATTTGGTGGATATGAGAGAAGGAAAGGGATGACTTTACTGAGGAAGGCTCTAAGGCTCACGTATGAGATGGGACTTGCCCAAGTTCAGTGGCAGAGCTCAGACCAGAACCCACATTGCCTGACATCCCATCAGGCCCATTTTAAACAGAGCTGGTTTCATGCTTTCCCAGAATGTGACAGTTGGGTCCACAGGGGCTTCCCAGTACCCCTGGGTATGAGTTAGAGAGAACCCGTGGGATGCATGATGCCTTAATTAAAGACAGTTTTGCTTCCTCTCTTAACTGGCTCAAGCGATGGCTCATTAGCACTGGCAGGTTTTATGGCTGCTGCAGGCCTGGGAGCAGTGCCTTTCCACCTTCCCTGGACAGAATACACCGTTAGTGATAATGTTGGTGGAAGGACCATTTGGTTGATGTTAACACTGATGTTTAATTACAAGAGCGGCCGTGGTCAGAGAGAGGTCAGGACTGTTCACTACACACGCTTATTTATGTCATCATCTGCTGTCCCGGGATGACCAGTTGGAAAGAGGTCTGTGACCTTGGCCAAAATGCCTCCTCTCTCTGGGCTTCAGATGGCCAGGGGGCTGGTGCTGGGGAGCTGGCTGCTTCCTACATGCCCTCAAGCTGTCCAAATTTTGTGACTTGGGGATTTCAGGATAAAAGAGCTCCACTCCTCAGAAACGGTTCTGTACTGAAGTTTAAAAGCCCTGCGTTCTCCTAGTGAGAATGTGTGATTCTCGTTATGAGAGTTGAAGAAAATCTCTAACCACAGGCATTAGTCCTGTTGCTAAAATAGCTGAGTAGCAACAAAGAGCCTATCATGAGAATTCACCATTCAAGTTTGGGAGAATGTGAAAAATAGTGATCAAGACTCCAGATGGAGAACTTCAAGGTGCCTTAGAGGTCCTGTAGGTCAGCCCCAGCACGGTGTCCCGTGGTTTGGCTGGGACTTGTCTAGGCATTATGGGGGAAGAAAGATTTGGAGTTCAAGTGAATTTGGGAAACACAGAGTTAAGCAAAATTAAACAAGTTCTATCACAATAAGACTTTTCAGTTTTGAATATGCTAATAAACGGGAATCCCAAGAGGGGAATATAGTGTCCAGTGTTCCCCAAAGGAACCCTTTTCCTAAAGAGCTTGCTACCCCTCCAGCCCATCACCCGCTCCACCACTACCCCTTCCCCAGAGGCGGCAGGGTTTCTGAAACCCAATCTGGGAAAGGCCGTTACGAGAATTCCGCTTGCCACCCGGCACCGTGTGTCAGGCGTTCACAATCACACACTTATTTGATCCTCATAGCAACTCTATGGAGGAGGGTCTCTGAAGCTTTCTCTGCTCGCAGATAATAAAAACCTACTCCGATTAGCGTGAGTACAGGAGGAAAAGCAGGAGGGAGTCGGGGTGGGGGGAGGAGCGTAGGACAGAAGGCGGCAGGTGGGAATGAAGGATGCTTGTCAGAACCTCCGGGCAGCACACGGAGCCCCACTCACAGACCACCTTGCAGCGCTGGGGTCAGCCCCACTCCCTCACGTGCTCCCTGACCTTCACTCTCTACACCTCCCCTCAGGATGCGCAGTCTCTCAAGCCTCAGTGACGTTGAATAAATAACCTGCCTTAAGTCGTGTGGCCTGTGAGGAGTGGGCAGGGGTGCAGGTGTGCCCCAGCCGAGCTGTGCTCCTGGGCTGTCCTATACCAGCTGCTGGCACCACACACGCCAGACCCAGTGAAGAGCAGCAGACAGGCCTGTCCTGCAGGTGCCTCGGCTCCCCCGACCCCGCTTCCTCGTCCTCCTTCTCCTTCCTCCACATTAAAGAACCATATAATCTAGTCTAGGAAGGAGAGTAGGACTTCCCAGATTTGATCACGCAAAGCTTTTATTTAATAATACAAGCACCGGGCTTCCCTGGTGGCGCAGTGGTTGAGAGTCCGCCTGCCGATGCAGGGGACGCGGGTTCGTGCCCCGGTCCGGGAGGATCCCACGTGCCGGGGGGCGGCGGGGCCCGTGAGCCATGGCCGCTGAGCCTGCGCGTCCGGAGCCTGTGCTCCGCAACGGGAGAGGCCACAGCAGTGAGAGGCCCGCAAGCACCGGGCTTCCCTGGTGGCGCAGTGGTTGAGAGTCCGCCTGCCGATGCAGGGGACGCGGGTTCGTGCCCCGGTCCGGGAGGATCCCACGTGCCGGGGGGCGGCGGGGCCCGTGAGCCATGGCCGCTGAGCCTGCGCGTCCGGAGCCTGTGCTCCGCAACGGGAGAGGCCACAGCAGCGAGAGGCCCGCGTACCGCAAAAAAAAAAAAAAAAAAAAAAAAAAAAAAAAAAAAAAGAAAGGAAAAGAGTGGTACAGCTATAGCATGGATGAACCTTGGGGACACTGTGCTAAGTATAATAAGCCAGACACACACAAAAAGATTTTTTTATGATTCCACTAATATGAAGTGCTTAGAGTAGTCAAAATCATAGAGACAGAAAGTAGAATGGTGATTTCCAGGGGCTGTTGAGGAGCGGGGAAGAGGGTTATTGTTTAATGGGTATAGAGTTTCGGTTTTACGAGATGGAAAGAGTTTTGGAGATGGTTGCACAACATTGTGAATACTTAATACCACTGAATTGTACACTTAAAATGGATGAAAATGGTAAATTTTATGTCATGTGTATTTTATCACAATAAAAAAATAATGGTATGACTTATCAGTGCGATTTGAGCATCTTTGGAGAGTTCTAGGGGCATCTCGGGGCTAGGAGCTTTGAGGGATGAACGGTGTAACTTCAGGTGTCAGAGAGCCGAGAGCTACAAGGCCTTTGGAAGGCCTTTGGGGTCGGGGGTGATGGGCCGAGTCAGGCTATGGCGGCTGACGATGCTCACTGTCCTGCAGTAGGTGTGGCTGGTCCCACACAGTGCGACTCTTGATCTCTGTCTGCCACATTCTCCTCCCCATCACTTCCTTTACAGAGAAGACAAGGTCCAACCCCACCTGTACCCCGCTGCGCCTGTGTGATGTGCAAGGTGCCTTGCATTTGGAAACCAGACTCTTCATTTCCATATGACAATATGAAACTCTGCATCGGGTTTGCATTTCTTAATTAGGTGCTTGTCATTGTGTATTCCATAGAGCCATGCATAAGTAAATAGTCACAGACCTTTGAATAAATTTATTGGTTTTATTTATGTTTCTGGGCATAAAAATCTATAATTACCAGGTACAGCCTCCATATAACCGGTATTTAATGACAATTACTTTTTGTTACCATAGAAATGAGTCCAAAGTAGTTACCCATAATTTCTCATTTCCCAAACCTCACACATGCTGAATTGCAATATTACCATAGTAATTGCCTATCAGTCATAAAATACGCGGTTACCCAAAAGATAGCAGGATGCTGTGGAATTTCTCATTTTGGGGAAGCCTCAGTGCTTCTTGGGAGTGTGGAGGTGGGAGAGAGGAGCAGACCTCCATGGGTGGTGCAAAAATCATTCAGCTTTATCGCATGACACTGCAGACGCTGTGGTGGAAACGGATGCTGCTACGACCCGCAGACTCACAACGCATTATGTCTCTCGGCCCTGGTGAGCCTCACGTAGCAAAGAATGCTCCAGCGCAGTAAATCCAATTTAACTAAGGTTTATCAGGGGCCTGCTGTGTGTCGGTCCCTGTGCTACGCCTTAGGGAAGCAGAGGGAAATCAGAGACGGTCCTTGGCAATAAGAAGCCCAGTGTTTGTACTAGGGGCGTGAGTGTGAGGCTGTGGAGGCCTAGGCATAATCAGAGCTAATGTCCAAGTGCCTACTAACCACACATT